GAGTACAGTCACCCTGACCCAGTCTCAATATTGCAAGTGGGTTGGATGAGGAAAGGGAGGAAGGCTGATAAATGAATCATTTTTGCTATAAAGTCTGGAATGAAGAGGGACCACATCAGGGAAGCTGCAGCTCAAAAACTTCTGCCACATCTGGACCAGATATAGATCATGAAATTATGGACTTGGATGCAAATTCACATTATTTATGGAGGAAGTGCTCTTCAGAAATACGTGTATAAAGACTGATGGGGACAGATAAGAAAGAGCCAGGCAGGCATGGTTTTTGGAGACTTTTTGCAACATCTGTCGCTCATATAAATTACATCCCAGAAATGACACATCTTCAGGCAGATTCTGAAAAAAGGACCAGCCACTAGTAGCCAGCACACATGGAACTAGGGAAAAGATGGACCTCCCTGGAAAAGAAAATATGAGAAGACCATAAACCTTTTATACAATATTTATCATTTAGATTGGAACTTTAGGGACCCAGAGAGCTAGTACAGCAAATATGGCACTTGCCTTGGCCAACCCTGGTTTGGGTCCCTGAGCATCAGTAGGAAGGATCCTTGCAGTGAGTCAGGAGTAAGCTCTCAGCATTGTCAGCCCTGTCCCAAACACCAAAAAAGAAAAAAAAAATAAATATTGGGTTCTTTCCATTTTCAAAACTATAAATCATAAATTAATTTATAATGTATGACATGTCATAACACAACTATAATTATAAATATATGGTCTGAATACAATTGGAATAAGCAGTAATATATATTTTATAAAATTAATTGATCTTTTGCTATAAATGATATATTCTGTTTTTAAAGAAACATTAATGATTTGCCAGTGTTCAAGAACTGCAAGGGGTTTGCGAATGTAAAGTTGAGTGAGTTACATTCTCAACAAAATTCCAACAAAATCTCATAGTTTTATATAATAACAGTGCCTGACTTAGATGAAAATGGCAAAATTATCTTAAGTGATAATCAGAGAACTAGACTGACAGGAATTTGAGTTAGAAAACATTATTGTCCACGAGAGCCATATAACAATAACATTAGATATTCAAAATGAATTCCCTAAATTAAATTAGATATAGAAGTCAGACAGGGACTGTGAATAAGCTATGTTTGTGTACTGTACCAGAGAATATTGCTACTAATGTAATCAGTCTTTATTCAAGTTCAATTATATTTTCTAAATGGTGGAGCAATAATCAAAGCAAATGTTAGTGTCCAGAATTTAGTGGGTAAAATATTTATCATGTATTTGTTCATCATTTGCAGTGTTAATATTCCATTGCCACAAAACAAGTTACCGCAAATTGTGTGATTAAATAATGCATGTTTGTCTCACAGTGTCCATCAGACAAGAGACTATGGCACACAGGTTCCTGTTTCTAAAAACAGAACTGTTTCATACGCTGTCTTATCTTAATTTGGATATTGATGAAAAGGAAAAATATTACAATGAAATGTTATCACAAAAATGAATTTATTCCCAAGGTCTTGGGTCCTTGATTATTGTATATCTGGGAACAAAATTTATGTGTGTGGGAGATTATTGTACGTATTAAGCAGATGGGTTTGGGTGCCTGCCCAATGTCCAGGCATTTCCTTTTACCCATGAACAACATCAGTCATCCTGTCCTCCAAACGTCATCCAGATTAAAACATTCTGCTCTTGTCCCCATGCCATTCTCTATCCAGTGTACTCGTACCTGGTCTAAATTTTGCAATGAGAATCCTGTAACCCATGTCCCCTGCTTGGGGCTTGATGCTCTATCAGTCACTGACCCTTTCTAAGGCTGTATGCCAGCACCTCTCTCCCCTTAACTTTATTTGATCTTCAACCTCCAACCATGGTCGCATGCATGTGGCTGAGAACCTCTGCTGTCTGGCTGTCCCTCTGTGCTTAGGTGAGGTGGAGAGGAAGTGGCCTAGCTGACGGCTTCCTCTGCTCTCTCCCACCCCCAGCCACCCCATTACATATTTTGACTGGGTAAACTTTAGGTGGGCAAGATTGAAAATGACCAACTATGGGGCTGGAATGATAGCACAGTGGGTAGGGTGTTTACCTTGCTCGTGACTGACCCGCGTTCGATCCCCAGCATCCCATATGGTCCCCCAAGCACTGCCAGAACTAATTCCTGAGTGCAGAGCCAGGAGTGACCCCTGAGCATCGCTGGGTGTGACCCAAAACGGCAAAATAAAATAAAATGACCAAATAAATTAACTAGTTTACTTGATGTAATAAAATATAGTAGGAATTAGGTGTGTCTAAGATGTATGCAGCATTGCTTATTAATACCTTTATATACAAACAATATGTGTCTGGGAACTTTGAGTGGTATACCCATAACAAAGGAAAAAGGAGAAGGGCACACTATTCAGTGGCTTTAAGTTACAGAAGTTTAACTTTATTGCCTTGGAGATTTCTAAAACATTTGCATTTTATAATTATGAATCACATATGAGTGCTTGGGTAGTAACTGTGAATCTTAGGCAGTTGAACACGTCATATATATTGACAATGTACTACATTTTCTCCTAGTGATGCTCTTTTCTTGCATTAAAATCTCATGAGAAATTTAAAGAGTGCTTCTAGAAATTGTCATAACTCTTTAAATTAGAAAATTTTTAAAGAAATCAGTCTTTTGCTCTCTTACACTGACATATCTCTCCTCAAAAATTCATATACATGTAAATTTTTAACTTCTTTGCCAGTTGTTTTACTTTTACCAATATCCATATCATAGCTGAGAAACATATCTGAAGTGACCTTAAAATCAATCATTCTGTGGGATTGGGGGTGGAGACAAGGTTGAGGGGGGAAGAGAAACTGGGGACATTGGGTGGTCAGAAATGTGTATTGGTGGATGGGTGATGAACATTTTATGACTGAAACTCAATCATAAAATCTTTGTAACTGTGTATCTCATGGTGATTCATTTAAATTATACACACATACATACACATATGAAGCTTAAATCAATTAATGATAAATTTAATGGAATCAATTTGATGTCTTTACCACTTACTCACTTAATGCCTTATAAAGATGCTGATGAAAATCAAGATGTAATTATCCAGGGCAGCAAGGATTGCCATAGCTGAGCAGTCTACAATGTCTGATCATTAGTCAGACAAACTGGTATCAACCATGGAGCACTTATTGTATCTCCATAGCTTTAAGAGCTGATCCATAATATCTGTTCTTAAAAACATTATGGACAAATTTTTAATGACTCTGTCCATCTCATAATTTAACAAATGACATTGTACAGTCAAATGGCAAGTTTTACAATTTAAAATTATTGAAAAATAAGTTTTAAAGAATGTCTATGCTTAAAAAATGTTTTTGCTATCTAGTGCCAAGAACTATTTTGTTATGTCCAGCATAGCATTTCTTTTGATTTTATCAAAGTACCCAGAAATTACCACAATGCTTTCCAGAGTTAACATTTTGAGACTTTGAAATTTACAAGAAGAAAAATGGATATGAGAAAAAACACAAATGGAATGAAAGAGCCAAGAAGTTACAGTATCACTGTGTACAATTTCATTTTTGTACAAGAACTTGGAAATTCAACAATTTTATAATGAAGAGACAATTTTTTATCGGTTTGTAGATTTTAAGTTTATAGGTTAAATACTAACAATTACATCATGTAAAACTGGATTGAAAAGCAAACAAACTGTCACCTTTAGTCTTGTCACCACAGTAAAGAACAGGAGACTAAACAACTGCAAATATAATGAGATAAATTCCTTTTGTTTGTTTGTTTGTTTGTTTTTGGACCATACCCTGCAGTGCTTAGACCTTACACCCGGCTCTCTCCTCAGGGATCACATCTGGCAGTACAGGGGACCATATGGATGTCTGGGATCAAACTGAGATTGGCCAAGTGCAAGACAAATGACCTACCTGATATACTATCTCTTTGCCCCCAACACTTTCTAATTTTAAGGAAGTTCAATTAAAATTCATTTTACCCTTCATAATTTTGATTTCTTATGAAAAGCTTGTTTGTATATTTTAGTTCATTTTCTACTTTTCACTTTCTATTTCAGGGTGGGAGGAGTATTAGGACCATAACTGGTACTGTGGTGCTTGGGCTTCCTTTATACTATGCTCGGGGATCACTCTTGGCAGTGCACAGGGGCCATATGTGGTAACAGGGATTGAACACCAAGTAGCTGTGTGCAAGGCAAGTGTACTCATTGTACTATCTCTCCAGTCCCCTATATATTTTTTTTATTGTAACATTCTGTCTTTGACCAAATTAGATGATTTTTTGTGTGTGGCGAAGGGATTGACAGATTTTTAAGTGTACATTGTGTTTTATTTTTACCCCAATTTTATTTTTAAAAGTTGTTCACAATAACATATTATATTCAATATTCCCACACTCATCCCACCACCATTATTTAGAATTTTCCCACCACCACCCAAGTGGTGCCCCAAAAGCAGGTCCTAAATAATTTATTTCCTATTGCTTCTTCTGAATAATCCATTAAAAATGATCCAAAGAAGTTTCCTTGGAGGAAAATATGTGAAGATTGTTGTATTTCACCCTAGAGCCATTAAGCCCTTGTATAAGAGATTACTAACATGTTGTTATATGTTGAGCCTTGTGTGCTAATATATATTTATTGATTGATTGATCGAGATCAGTTGCCTTCTACCTTACACCCCATCAAATGTGGTATGCTACTCTTGTTACATCAATGGAATAGAGTATGAAAGTTCACACTCCAAGAATTGTAAAATTTTACATAGGTTGATACAACTGGAGATGACTTTGGAGTCCGGAACCATCTCTGTAGTTTGTGGCTTGCGTCTGAGATTTATTTGTGAGTCTATGCATCATGGCCAGTTAATAAACTTATATGGTGCAAGGCACAATTTCTGGGCATGGCTTTCAGGCTCCTAGAAAGATAGGAATTTTGACAGTGTAGTGGTTATCACATTTGCCTTAAATGGTGTTTTAAAATGTAAAGCAATTATTTTTTGAAATTATAAATATGCTTCAATCCTGTTTGGCCCTGATTCTTGGTATTTTCTTCATCTGTGTATTCTGACAGTTCTTCCCCTGGCTTTAGGAGTCTGCCTACATAATTGTCTTTTTCTCTGAACTGCATCTCCCACTCCCGCACACTCTCCATCTGCACCTCCTTCAGGTCCAAGAGATCGTCATACTCCTCTCTGAGTGTGTCCTTGTTCTTGTCCAGGCAGAAGGTGGCCAGGCCCCAGGAAGCGTTCCTGCCAGCAAATATCCCAGAGGGGCCAGCCGGGCTGTAGAACTTGCTGCCCTTGCTCACGTCGTGCCCACTGATGGCCAGCAGGATGCGTGGCTGGCGCCCCTTCATGCGGGGCAGCCTGAGGGAGAGGGGGGGCAGGCCTGCCATAGCACAGCGTTAGTGCGGTTGACTTGCTTGCAGCAGGCGGGCTGAGCCGGGTTTGATTCCTCCACCCCTCTCTGAAAGGCTGGCAAGCTACTGAGAGAATTTTGGCCCTGTGGCAGAGCCTGGCAAGCTACCCATGATGTATTCAATATGCCAAACACAGTAACAACAAGTCTCACCATGGATGTGTTTGATATGCCAAATACAGTAACAAGTCTCACGATGAAGGCATTACTGGGCCCGCTGGTGCAAATCGATGAACAAGGGAGGACAGTGACAGTGATAAATACGGTATGAACATTTAAGTCCATATATTTGCCTATGTGTGTAGCATAAATTTCAATATGTCTTCCTACCTAGAGTATAATTAAGCAAAACATAGGTAACTATATTGCTCCTGTCTTCTTGATATTTAGAAGTTCATTTATAAACAATTTTGGTGTTTCAAAGAATTTATAATGGTGATAAGGAAGTTATTTAGAATTTAGATACAACAATATAACATTTTTAAAGAACAGAATGGTATTGGAACAACACATTTAGGGTGGAAAAAGTAAAAAATTTTAAGCCTCTATTGAGTCACAAAAATTAATTACCTTATGATCCAATTTTTTTAAATAGAAAAAGCATAACATAAAGTCAGATAATGATAAGATAGAAATAATAATTAAGATAAAATAACAAATTATAGAATATTAATAAAATTTAAAACAATTCTTATTAAAATGTTAATTTAAAAACCTGTCTATAACATCAAGAAAAAAGTGGAAAAGGTAACAGTCAAATTTGAAAATCCATAAATATTATGGAAATTTTTATGAAAAAAATATTTAAAACAAATGAGATTTCCATAGTTAAAAACTTTATTATTCTTTCTTCTCCAAACTTGCTCAAAACCACAGTCCCTAGAAACTACTCTTCTACTATGATTTTGAATTTTTGATATTCTAAATATTTTTGATATTCTAAATATTCTAAACATGGCTACACAATGCAATATTTTCTTTCTTTCCCTGGCTTGTTTCAGTTAGCATATCTTCCAGTTCATCTATGTGGCTGAAAATGAAAATGTGTCTTTCTTTTTGAAAGGACAGTAATTATATCGGTTATTTCTATACATTTTCTAATGATAATAATGCTGAAATGATTTTGAGAATAAAGATATCTTTTTTAATTGAATCACCATGAACTACACTGACAAAATGTTCATGTCTGAATTTCAGTTATACAATGATCTAACACCAACCCTCCATCGTGTACATATTGCACCACCAATGTTCCTAATATCCCTCTCCTATCCCCCTGCCCCACTCCACTTATCCCACTTCCTCTATGGCAGACAATTTCCCTGTTGCTCTTTCTCTACTTATGGGTATGATGATCTAATCTTTGATAAGGGAGCAAGAAATATAAAGTGGAGCAAGGAAAACCTCTTTAATAAAGATATATCTTGATGGGACCAGAAATACAGTGCAGTAGATAGGGCACAGCCAACCCTGTTCAACCTCACAACTACTAGTGCTGAACATAGTCCTCCTAAGCACCACCAGGAGTGATACCAGAGTAGCACTGTAGCACTGTACTCCTGTTCATTGATTTGCTCGAGCAGGCGCCAGTAATGTCTCACAACAAATTGTGAGACTTGTTGTTACTGTGTTTGGCATATGTCATGGGGAGCTTGCCAGGCTTCGCTGTGTGGGCAAGATACTCTCAGTAGCTTGCCAGGCTCCCTGAGAGGTGCAGAGGAATCAAACTCAGGTCGGCCACGTGCAAGGCAAATGCCCTACCTGCTGTGCTATCACTCCAGCCTGATACCAAAGTATAGAGTCAGAATTCCTGAGCAAGCACTGCTCCTAGCAGATGTGATCCCAAAACAACAAAAAGTCTTGCTAAGGTATAATTTTCTACTTTTTTGAGATGGTGGTAAACCTAATGGTGCTCAGAGCTTACTCTTGGCTCTATGGTCAAGCATCACTCCCGGCAAGGCTTAATGGTATCATATGCAGTACCAGGCTTGTACTAGGATTCGTTTTCTGGAAGCAAGTTTCTTATCCCCAGTACTATCTCTTTGGCCCAATGGATTAAATTTTAAAAGATCATTTTGGCTGTAAAATTAAGAACAGACTTAATTAGGTGCTCTCAGAAGCAGTAGAAATATCGAGAGGGTAGAGTATTTATCGGAGTATAATGTCATGATAAAGGTATGACAATATAGGTATTAGTTATTAGCCTATGAAAACATCTCAGATAGAATATAAATTGGATTTCTCAAAAGATTTTGTGTGAAATATAGGAAGAAGATCAGTGTTAAGTGCAATTTTATGATTATTTTGTCTGACCACCTTTAGGAGAAACAATCTATCAACCAAAATTGAAAAAAGTATGGAAGGATGAAAATGAATACCAGTCATTATTTGGGCTTCAAATGTCTAATAAACTTAGAGTTAAAGGAATATATTTTAGTCAAAAAACAGGTGCACTGATCATAAATTTGAGTATAATAAAATGACTATCAAATTTAAGATTATTTTGAAGATATATAAAACAGCATTTAGAATCAGGTCATAATTATTCAAAATAGTTTCCAATGACTTGTAGTTTATTTATACGCATATGAATTTAAAGTATCATATTTATTTTTAAATTTGGGCACTTTATCAGATTGCATTGTATACTGTCTTGTGCTCTTTCTCTCTCTCTCTGTTTCTTCTTTCTCTCTCTCTCTCTCTCTCTCTCTCTTTTCTAGGTTAAATCCACTGTAGCCAAATACAAAATAGAAAAAAGGGATGGCAAATTTTACTCACTTTATTTTTAGTCATATACCATGTCTGTAACAAATTTCAACTTCTTAAAATATGTGCAGTTTTACTGTAGGATAATATTGGTTTGTCCTTTCTGCCTTGCCATAGAGAGCTTAGGTTTATTGGGTTTACTCCCATTACAGAGCGCCATTCCTCTGTGTTTATTTGTAACTTCTTTCTTTGTTCTCTGCTTCCCCAACCAATCACCCTTACCTCTTAATAAGACTCTGTTAACTTGTAAATATTGCTTTTCTCTTCTCCTTATGTTCTTTGCATATTTACTTCAGAGTAATGTCCTTTTTATATAGACTCAAGAAGACAGTTAATGCTATGATTTTGTGACTTGGGAGTTAAGTCTGAATAATATTCACTCCTGGGCATCTGTTTTCTTGACCTAAACCTCAGCTGCCCCTCGTTCCTAGTACCCCAAAAGCAGGGTCCCGACGAGGTACTGGATGAACCCAGGGCAAGCTGTGAGCTATGCTGGCATCAAAATGGGTGAGGCCAAAGTACCATAATAATTCACCATAAGTTAAGAGCATGGTCATGAACAAATTCTGTCATGACCCAAAAAGTAACAACTAGATTAGGACCCTGCAAGGGTTAGGAAGATTAATCTGGCTTGAGCACTGTAGTCTGAGATCTAGAGCAAGATATCCCCAGGAGAGCCACCCTACAAGCTTAATGTATCTCTTACTGAGTCCAAACAAAATAACTAATATTAAGTCATAGAATTAAGATGTTAATTAAGATGTTATTTAAGTTATTGGACTAAGGAAAGGAGAAAAACCCTGGAGAGGTATTTTGCCCTTGAGCCAAGGAAGGGCTTTCATATGTTGATTGTGCTACCTGACCTGGGTGTGGTTGCTACCCTGAAAGTGGGAGTTGGTGAGTGACCAGAGGGAGACCAGGCAGTGAGTCAGAGTGCATAGAGACTAGTGAGGGAGACAGGAAGAGACAGGAATGAGGTGAGACTGGAATGGGGAGCTTAGTGAGACTGGAACAGGTGTGTGGGGATAATGGAATAAATGGCAACTGATCACCAACCAGCCAGGCCCTTGTTTCCTCCTTTGTCCACCCATGGCACTGGTCATCCCTGGTGGGAAAGCGGCACAGGATCATTGAATGCAGGCAGGGAGAGAGAGCCGCGGGGTTCCTTGGCTTTGTGATTACACATTTTACTCTTCCTTTGTCTAGCACAGTGGTAGGGCGTTTGCCTTGCACGCAGCCAACATGGCCGACCCGAGTTCGATTCCTCCGCCCCTCTCGGAGAGCCCGGCAAGCTACCGAGAGTATCTTGCCCGCACGGCAGAGCCTGGCAAGCTCCCCGTGATCATATTCGGTATGCCAAACACTGTAACAACAAAGTCTCCAATGGAGACGTTACTGGGCCCGCTCGAGCAAATTGATGATCAACGGAAGGGCCTTCTAACCTCTATGAAGGTAAGAAAATAACTTGTCTTCAGTAAATATCTTTCTCAAAGACATAGTGATGAACTCGTTATGAAAAAAAAGTTAACTTCTATGTGCCAAACTATAGATATGATCTAGAGAGTACTAGATGTGATCTAGTAACTAATCCAGCTTTGATTTTGGGCATCACATATAGTCACCTGGGTACCTCCAAGAATAATACCTGATCATAGAAGCAGGAACAAGTCATGAATATCATCAGGTATGCCCAAGCATTCTTTCCTTCCCTCAAAAAAAAAAAAAAAAGAACCAAATAATCTTGTAAACCTATTCAAAGTATGTAACTCTATTCATTTTTCCTATTACCAACTGCAACTGCTTAAAATCTTTGTTAAATGATGCGATATCATCGAAATGAGTAAAATGCATGCTTGGCATATGCATGTCTCTGAGTTCCATTCCTAGAGAGCCTAGCCTTCTGAACAGAGCCAGAGGCAGCTCTGGGGTGTCCCAGAATACCACAGCACAAAGGCTTGGCAAAGAACTTTCAGGCCTAGCCAACAGTATCACTGAAAATGGTTCCTGTTCACCCCCAGCACTGTTGGTTTCTCTTAAAAATATATATACATTAGGGCCAGAAAGATAATATAGTGGGCAAGATATTTGCCTTGAAGGTATCTTACCTGGGTTCAATCTTCAGCAACTCATATTGTCCCCGGAGCCTGCCAGGAGTAACTTCTTAGTGTACAG